CGCGCAGATGAGGGGACGTGCAGGCCGAGGGGACGCGCAGGCCGAGGGGACGCGTTGGCTGAGGGGGACGTGCAGATGGGTGGACTCGCAGGTTGAGGGGATGCGCAGTTTGTGTGGACTCTTCTGTCCGAGGAGACGTTGGCTTCTGGCCAACTTCTCCGGGTTTGTTAGATGTTTGCGATGTCCATTAGTGTCTTTGTGTGTCCTCAGAGCCCTGTTGGGTCAGCTGGTTTATTCCCTTAGATCAGGGGTGTCAAAGTCAAATGGACGGAGGGCCAAATAAAATATTTAGCTACAAGCCGAGGGCCGGACTGTTCGAATGTTCATTGAAAAATTTTTAAATGACGCATATAGTCTAGTGAACCTAATTGAACCTACTGAAAACCTAACAAATATATTCCAATATGATCAGATAAATAAAGCAATATTTTCTTATGGCTCTGTCAGTAATCTTTAATTTTCAACAGACACAAAAGACAAATCCTTTATATAAAAATCCCCATAACATGAACATTAAATGAAAGAAACCGGTATTCAAGGCACCATCAGTAGCCTATATTTTCTATTTTAGCAAAAGTGGGCTAAATTTACTTCAAAGAAAAAAACAATAATAGCAATTTTCTATCATCCACTCAACTGAAATATTTTTAATATATAATTGGATTGAAATACAATAAAATAAAGTGCCAAAATCTATTAATCAAAAACAACACTTTGTTTAAGGAGAAGTAACATGCAGTGAAAACAAATATTAAACTTTAACTTTTAAACTTGAACTGAGTAAAAACTCTAAATATGTGATTGCACAGTAATGTTCACTTGTTTGAGGTTGAGGGTGATACTTGGTGGATCTTTTCCACAAGTTCATCAATGTTCGGGGTAAGGCTCTGAGCTGAGGAAATCCTCAGAATTGAGTGGAGGTGTTCAGCAGTAAGTCGACTTCTGTGTGATGTTTTGTTCAAGTTCATCAAAGAAAACAGTTGTTCACACAGGTATGTGCTGCCAAACATGGACAACGTTTGAGCAGCCTGGATGCGCAGCTGGGGCATTGTGTCAGGGAGGAAACGGGCGAACTCCGCAGCACCCACTGCCGCATATTTTGCCCTCAGTGCATCATTGCATTGGAGGTCAATCAACTCCATTTGGAGGTTTGGTGGTGAGCTTTCCACGTCAACAGCAAATGGGTTACCGAGCAGTTCCAACCTGCTTTTTTGTGCTTCAAAGTCAGCAAATCGGCGTCGAAAGTCAGCGGCAAGCATACCTATTTTATCAGCCAACTGTGCGCTCGGGAACGCACTGGTAGAGAGCTTCTCTTTCATGGTCTGGCAGCTGGGAAAGTGGCTCAAATTTTCTTTCCGCATCTGCGTCTCCCACAGAGTCAGTTTGGTTTTAAATGCCTTCACTGTACTGTACATATCAGAGATGACACGATCCCGACCCTGCAGCTGCAAGTTCATTGCATTCAGATGACTCGTAATGTCACACAGAAAAGCCATTTCACACAGAAACATTTCGTCTCGGAGTTGTGTTGTGTCTTTCCCTTTGCTGTCCAAGAACAGACAAATCTCCTCACGAAGCTCGAAACATCTTTGAAGCACCTTTCCCTGGCTTAGCCATCGCACCTCTGTGTGATAAGGCAAATCACCATGCTCCGTTTCTAACTCCGTCAGAAATGCCTTGAACTGGCGGTGATTCAAACCTTTGGCTCTGATAAAGTTAACTGTGCGCGTGATGATGCTCATTACATGCTCCATTTTCAAGGCTTTACCGCACAACGCTTCCTGGTGTATGATACAATGATAAGCTGTCAGCTCACCTGTCACGTTTTCCTCTTGCATCTTTTCCCGTATCTTCGCCACCAGTCCGCTCCTGTGTCCACACATCGCAGGTGCTCCGTCGGTTGTCAAACCCACAAGTTTTTCCCAAGGCAGCTCCATCTCATTTACACATCTTGACACCTCTTCATACAAATCATGCCCCGTAGTTGTGCCATGCATAGGACGTAAAGCCAAAAACTCCTCTGTCACGCTTAGGCTGGAGTCCACTCCGCGGATGAAAATGGACAACTGGGCAATGTCAGAAATGTCGGTGCTCTCATCCACAGCCAAGGAATATGCAATGAAATCTTTTCCCTTTTTCACAAGCTGCTCTTTTAGATTGATGGACAACTGGTCTACTCTCTCGGCAATGGTGTTTCTGCTCAGACTCACATTTAAAAAGAGTTGTCTTTTTTCTGGGCAAACTTCGTCACAAACTTTAATCATGCAGTTTTTGATGAAATCCCCCTCCGTAAATGGCCGGGCTGATTTAGCGATCTCTTCTGCCAAAATAAAACTGGCCTTGACAGCAGCCTGGCCTTGTGATTTGGCTTTTTTGAACAGAGCCTGTCGAGATTTGAGGCCTCGTTTTAATTCCTCTGCCTTTTGTAGCCTTTGTTCCATGTCCATATTCTTGTTTTTGTCCGCGTGTTTCGTTTCATAATGTCGTCTCAGATTATACTCTTTCAGTACCGCCACACTTTCTCCACACAGAAGACACACAGGTTTTCCAGCTACCTCCGTGAACAAATACTCCGACTCCCACCTTGTTTGAAACCCCCGGTTCTCAGTGTCCACCTTCCGTTTTGCCATTTTTGATGGGTATCTGAAAGTTAATTTTACTGTGATGCTGACAACTGCTGTGCCAATAAATATTGAAATGAAGCAGCCTACTGCTCGGTGCGTCACCGTTGCATTGTGGGAAATGTAGTATTGGTGCGTGTAAAAGATCTGCGGGCTGCCGGCTTGCTGCGGTCTGCGGGCCGGTTCTAATAATAAATCAAGATCATCCCAGGGGCCGTAAAAAACCTTCTCGCGGGCCGGATGTGGCCCGCGGGCCTTGACTCTGACATATGTGCTCTAGCAGAACTACGACCAGCCATTATAAAGCAGTTTATAGTTGTTAATGTTGTGTCAAAGGGCATTTAAACATGTTCTTACACAAGTTTCCTGGCTTCATCTCCACCCGGACAGACATTTTTATGGAAAGCCAATAGAAGTTTGGGGCTTGCAGGGAACAGACACGTCATACCCAGCATCATTTCTGCCAGTTGAGCGCATTGCTAGAAGATGTGTGGTTAATACATCCTCTGTGCATTTAAGTAGGACCAAAGAAAAGCTCACTGTAGTCCTGCCACTATGCACTGTAGTCGAGCTCTAGGAGACTGATCTCTGCAGACCCCTCATGCTGATTCAAATGTTGTTTGCATGGAATGCTCATTTTACCTTGATTAAAACTCATTTTTTAAAGAAGTTATTTTGTGTATCTTTTTTACATAACATTTGCCATTGCTAATGGCGTACACAGTAATCTAGCATATTTGAATTAAATAAATCAATTCAAGCTAAAATGTAAGAGTGTACAATTAGGCTACTGAGCCTGATCTATTTGTACCAGAGATTTTCTTACCTTTTAAAAAAATGTCACCTGGGCTAAAACTCCCTCTGTGACCCTGATTTGCATTTGTATAGCTCACAGCGTTTTCATTTACATGTCAAAGCCTCCCCTAGAAATAGGAGGAGGGGGGTCATGGGGGGACAACTGCCAAGGGAGGCCCACATCAATTTCTGACAATTTACGGCATTTTTCGGCGTTGCCCGCAAATTGCCGCAAACCTGAAATTCCACGACAATTTACAGTGCCGCATACTGCCGAAAATCCCACTTTTCATTCAGTGGTTGGACTTAGAGAGAGGTCAAAGAGCTCAGACGTCTGAAGGGAAGTCAGAGTGCAGCCACTGCTTCTTCACCTTGAAACGCCTCCTTTTTGACTTTTTACGGGCGAGTCCAACTGGTAGATGTCGGGGGAGAATTTGTTGAGGTGCATATTGTGAGAGTCTCAAGAACTCGTATGTGACCTTTCTTGGGAAACTCGTGACCTGACCTAGTCTACGATGAAATCCATATGTGGCTTGGGAAGACCATATCATGTTCTTCTATTTACCTTTCTCCTGTGTTTTCCTGTCTGTCAAAATGATTGACTTAGTCCCACTAAGAGGGTCGTGGAGGTTCCCGAAACAACATCTCGAACCTTCAGAGATGTATAAAAGCTCCTCGTCCCCCATAGAACATTTGTCAGATCTTCCTGCTCCTTTTGGGGGAAGGAACTTTCTGTCCCTTTTCAGCTGAATTGTAGTCATTTGACTTCTGTCTGTGCTTACGACTTGTGCTGATGATCTCTGTATTCTTTATCATTTTTCTATATTCTAGTTAGTAATAAATACTTAATCACAAAGCAAGCTCAAGATACTTTTGATTTCTCACATGGGCTAAATCCACAAATTTCCACCACAGTAAGATGCCCGAGGTGGGCCGAGAACATACTGGAGGAACTACGTATCTGGTCAAGACGCAGCAACTTAGAGATCCCCAGAAGAGCTGGAAAGTGTTGCAGAGGTGAGCGGCATCCTCGACCTGCCTACATGATGACCTCTGACCTGGATGAGCAGATAGATATTTCTATCTAAAAGCTGCTTATACAATAAACATCACTTGATTACGCTAAATTGTTGAAATGGACGGTGTGTTTCAGTACTTCATATTTAAGGAACTCACCATAAAGTACACCAGGAGATTCCAAATACCTCTCTGGGTGAACATTAGAAGTGCGTCACTCACAGCAACTAGATGTCCTTAGAGGCCATTGGAGGACAGAAGTTGAGGTTGGGAAAAGTACTTTTCTGCTATGAAGCAGCATGTTTTCTAGTTTCCAGTGTTCCATTTGAGGATCTGTCTTCCTCTCCATATACTGTACGCCAGTACATTCCAGTTTGTACATTAACACTAGTGGTTATGATAACCTCCATTTGAATGATGCAGCATTGACTCCAATAGGAGCGGATGTATTATTGCCACAAAAGAAATGTGTGCACGTTGTGCCAGAACTGCATTCCGTTCCGTCATTTCAAGAGTTATTTTTTATCTGAATACTCTAATAACAAAGTAACAATAGCTGTGGTTGTATCAGTCCTGTCCATTACCTCCTTCAGGTGACGTGTGGGTGCACGAGTACACGAGTGAGGACGTGTGCGCACGTCTTACCATGGGACCGGGCGCCCCACGCTGCCCTTGTGGTCCAGTCTTCTTCGTCCACGGTGGCTGTTCGATTCAGAGGACACTGAGGAGACACAGTCCAAGCTTCATCGTGAGGACAATAAAGCATCAGGAGGACACCGACAGTAAGACTTATGGAGTCATTTCCACTCTGCACTCACCTTTGCTTCACATGATCAGAAAAACAGTGTTGTTGTTTTGCCGAGGAGAGTTTTAGATGTATTATATTAGGATTTATTTGTTGATATAAGAACTAGTGCAGGTCGATTTTTAATGCACAAAATTCAAATGAATTCAAAAGTAGTGCATTTTTGTTTAAAAAGTACTACTTTATGAACAAGTCGAAATTAATAGAATAATTTGGTTTTAAACAGCAGTATTACTTTTACACTGTAGCAGCTCAAATATTTATTCTACATCCCAATTGAAACATTAATGCAATCAAATCAAATATAAAACCCACATCAATACTGATTGACGTGGGTGACATCCAGCCTTCATAAGAACACATTCATATTCCTCCCCGTATCCTTATTAATGAGCTCTTCTCATTTTCTTTATCCAGCATGTCAGTAATTTGCAGAAGAAGAATAGAGGACAGACACTGCACTTACCCTTTCATCGTCCTGCATGAGACAGAGGACAAGAGAAAAAGGTGATTGTCATTATCATCATTGTAGCCTCTCACACGCAGATACATGCAGAAGTACACAATGTGACCTTTACAGGGCAGATTACAGTGGATAAGAACGCATTCATCTCTTGATCTGTGGCGCTCTGGTTCCCCTCCAGCAGGATACAGGGACAGCTCGTCACTGTCCACTCCTTAGCTGGTCTCACTTCAGCGGGTGCGTCCTCATGAGGACCGAGCAGTCACCGAAGATCACCTTCTCTATCTGCATGTTATACATTTTTGTTATGAGGCTTTTACTGTCAAGGCAACGGGGGCAGTGGAGGTAAAGTCCCCCCTCAGGACAGACCGTCCCGTTTCAGGGGGCGCTCTGTTCGGCCTATGCGGCCGTTGGAGGACCAGACCAGGTCTACCGTGAAGGCTGGGAAAACGTCCTTCTTCACAGGACATTCGGTTATGGCGTCATGGAAGGACAAATGCCTTTGGTGGGCGTGAACTTGACTGACTAATGAGCCACGAGGGTCACATGACTTCCGTCAGTCACGACTGTGAGACAGCTGTGTGGACCGTGTGGCTCTGGATTGGACGCCGGCAGGTGGGTGAGGACCGCTGCAAGGCCGTGTGCTGCACACCGAGGGGCCTACATGTGGTGGGAGGTGATAGTTGTCTCACCACAGAGTAGATCTCACACGCCGTTTCTCTCTCGCTCTGATGAGGGTCACAGTACAGACGAACCTTCTGAATCTCCACCTGAATAAAAAGACAAGTGGTCAGAAAAATGGAAATGTTGTTTGGGTAAGAAGTAGTGGATTATTAATGAAATGACTTCATTATTATGAGGGCCAAAAAGATGAGCTACAGAAGGACAAATGAGAGATTTCACCTATTTTATCACAGACTAGTCAGTTATTCACTTTGTATAATATTATCTCATTTCCTCAGTTTAAATGTTGCTTGATACACCTGAATCCGTCCCTCTGATTGACTCCTCCGTGAGTCAGACACACGTGTCCCCTGCACTTTGAGTCAAAACGTTGGCTCGTTTGTACTCACGGCCACAGGGAGGTCGGTTCCCCGTCTCTTAGCAACCTGGGTCTCCCCATTGATGTAGATGGGCTCCACCGGTTCCAGCAGTTCTTCCTGGATCAGCAGATCGTCCAGGAAACTGCTGACCTGACGTGGTCTCACCAGGACTTTGAGCTGATGCCACTTTCCGTCATAAAGAGTCTGAGATGAGGCACAGATATTTCATAAATACTTTATTTCTTAAGGTCCTCTCAAGTACAACAAATCCTTAACTGGGAGTCATTTCATCTGAAGACTGAAAGGAGCTGAGACATAATATGCTGGGATACCTGGCTTAACAAGACCCTTCAAAATCATATGCGCTACGTCCAAAATACTGTGTACATTGTGAAATAATACATTAGAATAATTTGAGTGATTTAGACGATCAGGTTTGATTCATACATCAAACAGACCGTATAATACAGCACGACTCATAATACATACTGATTGAAGGATCCTACCACAATGCTGCCACAGTGTTTGGGCTTTCCTCTTTTAGTTACTATTTCCCTGCCTTGTGTTCCTGACTTAACTTCCCTTGCTGGAGGAACTGTAGCTTTCTTCCTTCCTCCTCCAGCTCTGACTGGAGAGGGAACCACAGCTTCATCACAGGCTTCTGCTGCCCAAAGGTCACGTATGTGACGAATGAATATTCGGGGAAGACGTAATATATTACTACATTTTGTCAGAGGACCGTTGACATAAAATAAAAAAATGACATGCAACGGATATTACAATACTTTATTACTTCATCGTTCAGTAACATGTTTTGTGTTTCTGGTATTTTGTCGTATTTATAAACTCCACCCGACACCAACCTGGACGCCTCTGAAGGTGACTCTCTGCTCCTCTGCAGTTAAGCTAGTGGTGGTAAAGACGACACTTTTGTCCTTTCCACTCAGTGTCACTGCGACCTGTATCTCCTTATCCTTGGACAGCACCCTCCAAAGGTCAAAGGTCAGCCGGCTAGAAGTCCCCTTTAGACGCAGGGTGGCTATGAACACGTAGGAAGGAGGGAGGCCTTCTGGGAAGATGTCCCTGGTACGAGGAAGAGGTCGACATACTAAATACACACAACAGTTGATGGAGTAAACAGATGGATTTGTAAATTCTACCTGGTGTCCTCAGTAATGTCGGTGGAGGCCGTCAGAGCGTAAGCGGCCTCCAAAATCAAAGAGCCAGGGATCTTCTTGGCCTTCTTCTGAATGTTCATGCCCAGCAGCAGCTCAAAGCCTTTCTCATCCCGAGAGGCCACCGGGATTCGTGTTGGACAAACAGACTCTAGAAAGAAGAGAGGTCATTCGGTCAGCTACGCAAACCTCACGCCAAAGCCTGAGCTCAACCCATGACGCAAACATGGAACGTCCAGTGAAAGCAAGAAGATGAAGCCCTTATTGATGTCAAGTCCTGCTTCTCCTACATGGGGACACAATGTCTGCAGCTACTCTCTGCTTCCATCTGCTCTTCCCTCA